TCTATATACAGTTACGAGCGTCATTCCTCATCTCCTAATCAATCAGTCATCAGTTTTCATCTCTGTCACCGTTTGCTTTTTTTTGGGAATGGCGCCCTCCTATTGGTTGGCTACGGTCACGCCACCTATGCCCCCCCCCCCCCCCCCCACTCGCTATTTCGTCTTTGTAACTATTGTGTTGGAGCGGGTCGCTCCCTAAATAAATGCATATATTAGTTAATAACCAAATGGAATCCTCTCTTTCTTTTTCCCAGTAAGAGACGCCTACGGAAGCCAACAGTACATAGACAGATAAAGCACATAGGCTATAGTTATTAACTAATACAGTAAAACCCCGCTAAGACGAACCACGGATATAACGAACCTTCCCTTATAACGAACCCATCGAAAATCCCAATTCCATTCCATTAAAATTACCATCGTTATAACGAAATTTTCACTTTTCAAACTAGCGAACTATCGCTATAACGAACCCAATTTTGGTCCCAAAATATTAAATTCTATCAAAAATACCATGCTTATAACGAACTTTTAATTTTAATTCTAAAATTCCAAAATTATAATTTTCAAAACTAATTAAAATTTTGTGTGAGCTCTAGCTAACAGATCGCAATTCAAAACAAAGAATTTAGCGACATTGGGTGTTTTTATTTACGTTCTATTTTTATACTGCGCCCTTTTATAAATTTTTCATGCCTTATTGAAAACTAAATTTCTTAACTCTACATTACGAAAATTCCTTAAAACATGATTTAAATTATTAAAACCAGTTTTAAAAGATAATGGAAGTGCCAAAGAAAAAGTCGCTCGTACCAAGATATCACTTGAAAAGAAATTAACCATCATAAAAGCTATTGAGAGTGGTACATCGCAAGCGGAACTTCGGAAGAAAATGAAAATGAGCAAAAGTAGCATTTCTACGATATGGGGCAAAAAAGAAGACTATAAAAAAAAATGCTACAAAGAGGAATCAATCCCAACTATTGCCGCAATCGTCAGTGTCATTATCCACTTTTAGAAGCCTTGTATACGTGGTTAGTACAAGCTAGGCTTCATTTAAAAAAATGAAGATTTCTTTGCTAGATATGAAACCAAATTTTTGAGGAATATGTTAAAGCAGAAAAAAATAAGAGACTTCTTCAAGTAAGCCTTTGTTTCCTATATTGTAATATAATATTTATTTATATAAAATATGTTGTTATACCTTTTAAAATATTATTAATAAAGTTTTTATTTAATTTTTATATATAAGGTATACTTTTCTTGGATTTTTTTGACATATGGGGGGCAGGTTGTATTTATACTAATTAAATTATCAGAGGAACTGATCAAAAAGGCAATATTTTCACATGATTTTTTTAAATTTTAATATACAGCTTTAATATATAGAAATAGGTTAATTTAGGGGGAAAAAAGCAGCCAATATTAAGAGGTAGCCTTTTTTTTTTTTTTTGCGTATGCCCTTTAATTATGTCCTAAAAAAAAATTTAAATACCCAAACCGTGGCTATAGTGAACCAAATGTCCCGTCCCAATGGGGTTCACTATAGAGGGGTTTTACTGTATATGCATTTATTTAAGGCGCCAATTTATAATTGTAACAAATAGTATTTGTGAATCAAAACATTCAATCGGGTAAAACACGGGCGTTGCCCGGGTCATTCGGCTAGTAGATTATAAACACAAGGTAAGGTTCTCATTCAGTACTTTTGTCTGAAGATGGTAACAATGCTGTTACCGAAACGTCACACACTATTTATTTATTTGGATTTGGTTTTATTACCTTGTTCTTATTACCTTGTGTTAACACTCTAGAGGGAGAAAAATAAATAGTATGAAGGTGTGAAATTGTACTGACACCAGGTGGTTAAAGGAAACCTGATTGCACAACTGTTGCTGGCATCTTTCACAATAAAATATCAACCAATCATTTATGATAAGGTACAAGAATGATTTGATACACACACACACACAATTTGGATTATAGATTAGAAACAAGATAACAAGACCAAATCCAAATAAATAAATAGTGTATGACGTTTTCGTAACAACATTTTTACTGAAAGAAATGTCACACATTATTTATTTGGGATTTAGTCATATTACCTTGTGTTTCTAATCTAGAATCCAAATTGTGCCTTATAATAAAAGGGAGGGGGAAAAAATGGATGCTGTGTGTAAAATGTCTGCGGCAAACACTCACTGAAAACCACAGCTGTCAAAATGACGATACTAGGTGTGAATATCAAAATTATACGCCGCCGTTAAAAGTGGGCATTGCCAACCAACAGCTGTGTCTGAATCCATGTCATGGTCAGCATTGGTTCTCTGTGTTGATCTCATCTGAAGTTAGGGCAGTCGGAATGCCACAGTAGGGGCTTCACATTCAACGGCACATTTCCCCATCATGAAAACAGGACCCATCATCAAAAATGTGAAAAAAAAAAGAATTGGATGGGCCATATACAGTATAACATCGTTAATTCGACACCCTACCTTAATTCGACCATATTCTGATGTCCCGACCTCCGGCCTATCAAATAACAAACCGTAATTCGACAGTATCGATAATACAACAGTTCCGATAGTTCGACCATTTTAAAATTCGAATTTCAACAGTTGAATGTTTTTTTACATACAACTTTACCGCTAAACAGTTTTACGGCGGTGGCAAGCGGCGACGACGACGGGCGCCGATAGGATCGCGCATGCGCACTTTTGATTTCTGTTAGTTTAAGTTTCACTTTGCAGTGCCGTTGCGCACTGTCGCGAGTGTTATTGTTTTTTTTTTTAAGCGGGAATTTAGGAATCGTGCGCTAATTAATAATATTATTTTCTTTTTAAATTTCAGCATTGAAATATTTAAGTTATTTTAAAATTCACAAATAATTTCCTTTCAAATAAATAAATCTTCATAAAATGTAGCCACAATAATTATGATAACATTTTATTTCAATATTCCATTTCCATATCATTATAAAAGATTTAAACACAAAATCAATAACACCTGCAGCAGCAGTGGATGTCTTTAATACAATAGTTATTTAAAACACATTCCAGAGGAAGAAAGACATGCATGTTTTTTTTTTAAATAGACCATCTGGAATATATCCTGAATAGGATTTCAGTGCAAAAACAGACATCTATAAAGGAATTTTTAAAAAGATCTTCATGATCATTTTTAAATATTATTTTTAAATTTTCTTTTTATTTTCCATATTTATTTCCTTTCAACTGCTATATTCTTAATTAGAGTAAAATATTATTTGTAATAATTTTCTGTTTCAAAAATATGTAGTATTGCCATTTTGTCCCTGATATTAAAGTTAATCATGAAAATAAAAAATAATACTAAAAGGACACACACAATGGTTTCAATTAATATGATCAATTTAAATTACAAAGCAATTTTAAAAAATATTATTTTAGCGAGTTAGATGATTAGCTAATCATCTAACCTTAATTCAACACTTCCTTTAATTCAACCGAAAGCTCTGATCCCTTGGGGTGTTGAATTAAAGAGGTTCGACTGTGTATAAAGAAGAAATGGATTAATGATGAAAGTTGTGGAGGGTAAAATGAATGGAGAGCAACAGGTAGGGAAGAAGTAGAATATTTAAATGCTATGAAAAAGTTAGTTAAAGACTGGTACTGGACAGGAGAACCTACCCAAAAACAGAGACATTGAAGAAGAACAATGGACTTGGCCAGCCCAATACTTAAATTGTCAATGTCCAAATTGATTGGAAACACTCACTTCTTTTTCTGTCTCTTTCAAGAACTAAAAATATCCTCTCTCTTGTATCAGTTATTGAACACTCAAAAAAAGGTGAAAGGCAAAAGAAAAGATAGGCAAAGAAAGGGGAAATATTCAAAATCATTTTTATTACTTCTTCTTCTACTTCCTTATCTCCATTCAATCATATTAGGGTATCAAGTTGTGACCCTTGATGGTGTCTGTTTGACAACCATCATGACTGGGTGAAGTAGAATGCGTCTACCTTTGTCATTTAGACTGGGAGCACTACTCAGTGGCAGGCCGACTTAGCTCCAAAAGAAATGGCCGCCTCTGACATGAGGAACAGACGCCATGTGCAGCTGCTCCTAACATGGAGTACAAACGCTGCTCATCCTGTATCCCTGGATTAGGAGCCCTTACAGGGTACTATCAGCCGGGCCAGCTGAGCCCAGGTTTTTTAGTGAGCTTGTTAGTGCTCCCCCTCCTCCTTTTTCATCCGGGCTTGGGACCGGCAAAGGCGGATTACTGCTCTCTATAAAAAATCAAATAATCTTTTTGCTCCAAGTCTTCCATTAGATGGAGTTTATCTCGTTGAGATATAATCAGATAACAGTTGATGGATCCATATTGTAAGTTGGATAATCGCCTTGAGCAGTAAATTATCAAAAATAACAAAATCATGAGGCCAAGAGTTTCTTGTTAGTTTTTTTTTTATTTAGCTGAGCTTTGGAGCATTTGTTTCCTTCTACCCTAGCGTGCAAATAACCCAGAGGGCTCTTCAACACACATCTCTCTATGCATATGATAAAGACACAATTTGGATTATAGATTATAAACAAAAGGTAATAAGACCAAATCCAAATAAATAAATAGTGTGTGACATTTCGGTAACAGCATTGTTACCATGGTTTTACGGGCTCCTAACCTTATTTCTCATTCTTTTTTTTTGGGCTCAAAAACCTTTGGTTTAGAAGCCTGTAAAACCATATTCTCTCTGTTTTTTCTCATTCAGTACTTTTGTCTGAAGATGGTAACAACGCTGTTACCGAAACGTCACACACTATTTATTTATTTATTTGGATTTGGTCTTATTACCTTGTGTTTATCTCTCTACTAGCTGAATGACCCGGACAACGCCCGGGGTTTTACCCGATTAAATGCTTTTATTCAAATACTATTTGTTACAATTATAAATTGGCGCCGTTGATGTCATTCTTGTATAATATATAAATGAGTTTTAAAAAGTGTAAAAAAAAAAAAAAAGCATCGGCCGGGAATCGAACCCAGGGGGCCGCCCGCGTGGCAGGCGAGCATTCTACCACTGAACCACCGATGGTTTTGAGAAATGGCCATATTTGGGTATTTATTCCATTCACAAAAGCAAACGGTGACAGAATTGATTATTAAGAATTGTTGCTTGATGACTCTGATAAATGTATATATTAATGTAAATTCTGAAAGTGCTGCTATACATGTGTAGATATGGGGGATGTATTTATTGTATAAACTGTTGCAGGTTAGGTTAGTTTCAAAGAAGTTTAAATTGGTTAGTTTAGGTTTGGTTTGATTATTAAAAAAAAAAATGGAACTCAGCATGATGCAATGTCTAACTCAGACCTTGTTTTCGACTCTCTCAAATGCCTACAAAAAAAAAAAGAGAAACCTATAAGCAAAAATACAGAAATCAACATTCCATCATTGGTATCTGAACTAAAAACCTGGAGCTATTCTGGAATGTGGGATGGACCGACAGACAGAAACCTATATTTCCAGGCTCAAAACTGGCAGCCATACAAGACCACTCCTCTTCCAGGATGGTGTAAAGTCACAATGCACCATCTACAGGACCAAAGAGGCCTCACCAGACCAACTCTTGGAATGTATGGGAGCCTCAAGACAGGACCTGTATTCCAACCCTACTAAGATTGTGAATTTAATCTATGAATTCAGTCTCCATGAACTAACTCCGCCTTTGCCGGTCCCAAGCCCGGATGAAAAAGGAGGAGGGGGAGCAGTAACAAGCTCACTAAAAAACCTGGGCTCAGCTGGCCCGGCTGATAGTACCCTGTAAGGGCTCCTAATCCAGGAATACAGGATGAGCAGTGTTTGTACTCCATGTTAGGAGCGGCTGCACATGGCGTCTGTTCCTCATGTCAGAGGCGGTCATTTTTTTTTGGAGCTAAGTCGGCCTGCCACTGAGTAGTGCTCCCAGTCTTAATGACAAAGGCAAACGCTATCTACTTCATCCAGTGTGGGGATAAGAAAGAAGAAGAAGAAGTCTCCATGAACCTGTTTTGCTTAACATGAGTAGGCCTAGTGCAGAATAATATTGCGGCATTTACTTTTATACATGATCTGAAGCTCTATTTCTCAAGTTGAGAAAACACAGCATTAAAAGGGTAGAAGAGCGCTTGTGACTCGTGGCTCGTAGAGACCGCGCCATGGGCAGAGAGAGAGAATAAACATATCATTCTTGGAAGTCATTTAAAACTCAATGTCTAAGTTTATTTTTTGGAAAGTTTCTTGAAACTTTACAAGGCAGTTTCTCAGTGTTATTTTCTACGCGACAATATAATTGCGACATGTTTTCACAGTCGGCAGAAATTAGTATCTTACTATAAATTCTTTATAATTTAATTAAATAATAATTATTATTTATTCTGTTCCTTAATACGTTTTTTTTTTTGTTTTACATTCAGTTAAACAACTAGAAAGTGCCCTTTAACAACTTGATCCACTTTTTCTCTAAACTTTTAAAAATATTTTAATCTAATTTTTATATATTATTCAAATATTTTAATGAATATCATGTAATTTTATACTACTGATATAGTTTACTGTTGTTTCCATTAAATACCAAATAGTTGAAGGTTACACAGGGTGTGACATGGTTTTGTTGTAAATTTTAAAATATTTAAATCCTATATATTTAGAATGTTTTTAAATGTTATAAAATGTTTAATCTTTAGTATATATTGATTAAATGGTTAAATATCTTTTGAAACTTGTCATTTTTTTAGATGCAGAAGATTCTGTATGTAAACAAAGGATACAGGAAATGGGTGGATATACATCTTCTGAAGATTAAATCCTTTATAGTTAAGACTAGAAACTAATATTTTTATATTTGGATTATTCAATAAATCTGTTTTGACATTTTTTTATGATTAAAATTTCACCCTTATCAGTGAGTGATATTTGATTTTAGCCTATTTAAAATTATATGCTATTTAAGAAATTTTGGTATACCTCTAAGTTATGCATAATGTACTTTTATATATAATTTACTTTATTTACTATTTAAACAATGGATAGCAACAACTTTTTATGGTGTGTTGTGAGTTAGTATGACTTGCTCAAGGGCTAAACGTAACGAATGTACTCAATTTGTGTATTGTGCACTTAATAGTGAAATAATTATCAAAATATATAATAAATTATTGTGCCGGAATTGGCGGTGTTGGTAACGCCTCTTTACGTCATCCATATTTACATCTCATCGCAACAAACCGCCTTGACAAAAATATTGTTGATCTCATGAAATGAATATCCTAATAAATACATCGTTACTTAAACAATCATTCTTACTTTTTCCTGGTCGGACAACGTATCATCCAAGTCAGATGCCATTTTAACTCTTCCAAAGCTATATGATGATATTTTAAATTAGTTCTAACTTTCTTTTTAATTTCTATGTAATCAGATATAATTAGTTTTATTTATCTGAGATTTGGTCATTTTTAATAAATTTATTCTGTTTTTAAAAATTTGGCAAAAAAATATTTCTGCAATTAAATATTTTTCATAAGTTATAGAAAATTTTTATGATTTAAATTATATATTATTTTAATGTCAATTTAATTTTCACTTTATAAAATATTTTGATTTTAGAAAAAATTAATATTACTTGAGATTCTCTATTATTTTAGCTAAGAGATGCGCAAGGGAAAAACATTTCTATGAAAATTCTCTATCTTGACCTATTCTTAGCCAAAAACCAATAAAAGAATTTTTCATACTATTATTACTTTTTAATTATAAAAAATGATATTTATCATAAATATATAGAAGACACTCTGAAATAGTAATCAACTATAAAATTAACCTTATATTAAAAGTCCATGTAAATAATAGAAATTTAAAACGCTAATGTAAAAAGAATCTATATACCTAATAAAAATACCGCGTGCATTGAAATTTATTTTAAAAATAATAACAAACTCTAAAATTTTCTCTGAACACCTAGGCACTAATAAAATATAAATGAAAATGCTCAAATGCGCGCTATATTAGAACCGTGAAGCATTCTGCATTTAAACAAGGCGTATATGAATATTTTTTTCTAAAGAAAGCTTTTTAATATATATATATATTAAAAATACGCGCTAAATATTATATCCTCCTATTCTGTTAAAACTATTTTATAGATCCTTTACTTTTTGTACATAGAAAGAAGGTCTTAGGTGAAGGGAGACAACGAGCAAGACATCTATATCTATAGATAGCCCCAGCTTGGACCGACCGAGGGCAAAGGTCGGCGTGGGCGGAGACGACGGAGCGTCATGTTACATTCTTTTTTGGTCAGTTGGCAGGATTCCCTTGTTAGAAGCGGAGGGGAAAGTTGAGTTCCCTTGCCAGACGGAGAGACGTCTAAAAGCTATCCTGCAAGCAGCGTCTTTTGGAAGGAAAGACGTCAAGCTATCCTGCAAGCAGCGTCTTGTGGACGGAGAGAACGCATTGGAGTATCCCTCAAGCAGAAACTTGAGAGCGGAAAAGACGCCTTAGACAACCAACGAGTCGTGACAATTAGACAACCAACGCGCGACAATTGGACATCGCACAAGCCAAGCCAAGCCTGCGACGGTGCTGCCACGAGGTACTGTGTAAACAAACGCTCGACACCCCCCCGCCATTTTTTTTGTCTTCCTTCCCTAAGACTACTTTAATTTTACTTTACTTTTTTTGCTTAACCTTTTTTATCTAGTTTTTTTTAGCTCTGTTTTAATCTTTAAATACAACCATAATTCTATATATATATAAGTGTAATAGTTTTTAGCCCTTTTGTTTTTAATCTTTAAAATAAATCCTTTTGTTATACTGTGTTTCTGTGCATTTATTTCCCCCATTGTTTTTCCTTTCAATCGATCACCCTTTATTTTATTTTTTTTTAACGAACACGAACATATTCTATAAACACGCTTTATTTGAATACAAATTTTCTAATTCATGCTTCAAGATCGTTATTATAATTATAATATATTTTATTGTGTTAATTATTAGTTGCTATATAATATTCCAGAAAAATTTTAATAAATAATCTAGATAATGATAAAAATTATAGCTGGTGATAGTTTTGCTAACAGTGCATTTGAATACCATTTTATTCATAAAATGTTGATGTAAATATTATTTTTAATGCTCATATTCCAATGTTATGTGCTAATACATGTTAATTATCATGATGAAAAATGAATGATATTTTTATATTAAAAGCCTCCATCAAAATTAAAATATGAATTAGGGAAAATTATATACCATAAGAATGAAAATATTATTGTGAAGCATAATATTTAAAACAAAGTAGGCATATCCTGAATGTTGAAGTTCTTGGTGTAAAGGCTTTCTCTATATTTTTTTTCCAAGAATTTTTGGACATACATATATTCAGATGTATCAATTTTTCTCTTGATCGAAATAAAAATATTAAATATACTTAATAATGCATCTTTTGATAATATCTTAACTTTCATAATCAGATTAGTGAATTAGCCACAGCGCCAATTAAGAAAATTTGTTATAGCTGGAAAAAAAGGTATACAGGTAGGATTTAATTCAAATTTGCCAAAGTTGGTGATGTGGTCTATTTTCTAATATGAATCAGAAAGTTTTGCTCAGAGAAAATTAAAATATTAATTTTCTAAATGTACATTTTATGCATTTGTTAAAAGGGAGAATTGCCTTTTTTTTTGCACGCGAATCTATCCTCCTGCACTTTCATAAAATTTCTTATACTCGAAATAAATTTTAATGCCAAAATTTCATGGATTCATTTTTTTAGGATATTTTTTTAATAGTTTGAAGCAAAACAGGATTTTGTAATATATAATGAGTGTTGAGTTGATATTAAAGTTAGTAAAAATTTTATTTTATAGAATTTTGAAAATAAATGAAGAGAGTCATTTATGTCATAAATAAAAATGAAATGCTTCATACAGAACTTATTGCAATAGAAAATATTGGGAGGGTCTGACTGATTTTAAAAAGAAATCACACCCATCTATTGAAATAAGACACAAAAACTAATCAACCTCAAGTAAAGGTTTATGCAACTATACA